AGATTAATTAGAATAGTTTCGAACTTAAAAAGCTATCACATCTTATAGAACAAACAGTTTTCTATAAACTGGTATACTTGTTCAATTTTCGCCTGCTCGTCTTCACTCTTTTAGACAGGTTTTTCAGATAGCCCCAAAATCAGTGTTTTAGGCTGTGTGTAACTTATAACAAATCAACGTTCAGAGTCGAGATACCTTTCGTTTTGTAGAGAAATGTTTAATTTACTTAATTATCCAGTTGCAATTTTAGATTAGTTTGTAGCCTTATTGCAATAGTTATTTGAAAAAGAGCGCAAAAAGGAGACCGTTAGCCGGACAAGCCGTTCGGTTCACAACATACTTGCTGATAACACATGAGATGAGTACGAATAGAACTTGAGTTAGATTTTAGTGGATTATGGTACTAATAAGCAATTACAGCGAGGGTAACTGTATGTAAATGATGCTAAGAACATCGATTAACTGACGTTTAAACGCTGACATTTGTGAGTCCCCATTGTTTGAGTAATTGTTTATGCAGCCAATTTTATACATTTTACCGCAATTTTGCGCTTCTTGAAAATGATTCACTTGTTTTACTGTAGTTGAAGTTGTTAAGTATAACTTTGATACCAAATATTTTCTTGTAATTATAACTATTTGTTAAACTAATTTGCAGTTTCTTGAATTGTTTTCATTTCACTCACTCTTACTACCCCGGTGCTCCTCGCTTCGCAATGAGAAGTGCAGGATCTATTCTATTTTGTTGATATCAAGAAACGTCACATTGACAGATGGCAAAAATTGGTCGCTCAAATGTTGGTTCACGGAGAAAATCAATTTATGTAAGCTCTGTTATACGCTATTCTCTTGCCATAATATATCCACGATACCATGTCATATTACACATATAACCTTTCTTGCAGATAACTCAGGACTTATATTAAACACATTATAAAGAGATGTGACAATAAAATAAATTATTTTAATCTGATTATTATTCTGGCATAACCAAAATAGAATTTCAGTCAGTCAAAAATTGGTCGCTCGAATGTTGGTTCACGGAGAAAATCACTTTATATAGGCTCTGTTATACACTATTCTCTTGCCATACGATATCCACGATACCATGTCATATTACACATATAGCTTTTCTTGCAGATAATTCAGGATTTATGCCATCTGTTCGTAATTTTCCATGTGCGGATTATACTGTAGTGTTTATATAAAACGTTAGTCTCAAAAATGGCAGAAAGAAAAAAAATGCCTGTGCAATTGACACGATTGTTTTGTGTTACTCTACTCATTTTTATTTTGTTGCCTATATTTATGTTTGAGTTTATTTATCGTACACCATGGTATAATAGTAATATTCCAGAAGAAAACAGTGGGGTGAACAATATTAATGATGATGTTATGGAATTACCAATATCAATTCCTCTAAACGATAAAGATAATACGTTGATTTATTCATCTTACTCATGTACGGGAAATATCAATCGTGAAGCAGAATATAGGAATCGTATATGTTTATTTAGAAATGTTTGCTATGATAAAAAAAAGGAAGTCATAGTTTATTATAAACCAAAAAATTCCCCAAAACGTCCTGTATTATTCGAAGCGAAACATGGCTTAATATACGACTTTTATTTTGGGAAACGTGGTTTCGTTCAATTACAAGGACATTCAACAAAACTGAATACATGGCATCCCATTATCGTTGATGAACATATTCCATTGAAAAATGTGAAATATTTGCAAAGTATTCATGTGCTATGGAATTATTGGCATCTACAAGAGTTTAATCTTGGTCATTTACTATGGGAAGATATTGCATCGATTTATTCGTCCATGATACGTTTAAATGTTTATACGAAAAATGTAATAGTGATGAATGTTAATAATCGTGAATCGAAAAAACGAACCATCTACAGTATCTTCTTCTCACAAATATTACCGTCATTTGTCAAAAAATATGTTACATTCTCCGATTATATGAAGCAGTTTCATGAAGAGTTTATTTGTTTTAAAAATTTATTAGCCGGTGGAAATATTGCTTTATTCAATAGTGACAAAGGAATTTTAGGTATGTAACGGGTGGGACAGAAAAAACCGGCCTCTCAGTATTATGAAATGAGTCTTGCCTCCACTGATAGAGGACATCTAAACATGCAAAGAACGACCTGAGAGCTTTTTTCTGTCACCTTGGGCATGGGTTTCAAAATTTCAAACCATCATCGGAAAAAAATTAATTTTTTTTGAAAGCTTTGGGGCATTTCGATTTCTGTTCAATTAAGATGGCATCTCGAGCCTCAGAATCATCCTCTGTATACCATTGTGTAGAGAATTAAATGCTGAATCTTTTGCAAAAAACAGCTGAATTTTTGAATCTGAGAATCGTGGGCAAACTTTAAAATACTGAGAGGCCGGTTTTTTCTGCCCCACCTGTTACTGACAGAAAAAACATCCAAGATTACCTAATGTTTTTTAAGGACAAGAAAAGATTTATTATGATTTTCGTACAATAATATTAAAACATCATGGTGTTGATTTGAAACGACCACCAACTAGACATCTAATTCTCTTAGTGAACAAATCACATTCCGAATGGGGAGAGAGAAATGGAATAGCAACACGAAGAAGCATCTATAATCTGAATGAAATTAAAAGTTATCTTCAGAAAACGTATAAAAATATCGAAATTAAGGTTGTAAAATTACATCGTCTATCCTTTCCTGAACAAATAAAGTTAATGTATAAAACAACAATTATTATAACACCATGTGGTGGTATCAGTGCAACAATTCCGTTTTTACCACGTGGTGCTCACGCGATTATCATGGATTTTTATAATACAAAAAAACATCGAGGTTGGAATCCAGGTTTGTCATAATACTTCATTTGTTTGGTTTTATTGTGATAGGCTTATGGTTTTTTTAGGTGAGTCAGGCTCAATGGAGGGATATGTATGGAACTACTTTCCGCATTTTAAAAAATTATACTATCAAGTTCGAGATGAGTCAGATTATATCATGGATTTACCGAACACAACAAATACGCGAGATTATGCATCGATTATTGTTAATATGTCAAGATTGAAAATGCTCGTTGATACAGCAATAGAAAATTCAGCATTTTCAACTTTATAATACCATAAAATTCGAGAATTTGTATAGAAAGATCGATTTCGTTACAATAGAAAAGACTTCTATCTATTCATGAAATACGGGATTTGTGTTATAGCAGATAAGGTTTTTTTTTATGTTAAAAAGCATTAGCTTCTTGATTACTGATCAACGGTAATTTATGGACCTTGTTAGTTTCTCAAAAAAGAAGCAAAATATGATACAAGAACAAAGCGTAAGATAAATAAGTTAAGAAAGAGAAGTTCTTTGTAAAGCTTTGAATGAGAATTTGAGTGCACCGGATGGCAGTGTTTTTTGTTGTTTTGGCTGTCGTTGATGACGATGAATTAATGTTAACGATGATGCTTTTTTTCGTCGGTGACAACGTTCACGAATTAAAGCAATAATATTTCCAATTGCACGACTCATGATACAGTAACATATGGGATTGATGGCAGAATTGGCTAACGAAAATAACTGTAAGAGTGGATTAACATATAGAATTAAAAGCATTTTTTTATCTAGGTGATCTAATGATGTTGTTTGATTTGAATTGTAATCATCAGGCAAAAATGTACCGCTAGTAATATCAATATAAATACCAATGATATTTGATGGTAAACGAGTAACAAAGAAGACAATAACTAAAGAAAGAGAAAGTGAAGTTTAATTAATTAATTCAGTGTATTATCATATACCTAATGTAATTAACAGTTTAATAACTCGTCTTCTGCTTTGTGAAAATCTGTTTGCTCTTTCAAATTCTGTAATAGAACGATTACTACCATGTAATATTGGCATACTTGTTCCTCTCAGTCCACCATCATTAGCTCCTCCATTTGTGCAACATTGTAATGAAACAATGGTTGATTTCTTTAATTGTGGCGATTGTTGTTGACAGGAATAATTATGTTCAATATGTCCTGCAAAGCTCATACGACGATGTTGTGGATGATTTGTAAGTAATGATGATGATCGACGTGTTAAATTATTTGAGATGATGTTGGTCGTAGCTGATGTTGATAAAGATTTTCTTGTTAAATTTGTCATTGTTGTACTAAGTCTTGGATTATTTTTTTGTTGCATTAATGATTGATATTCATTATCTTTTGTGCAACCATTTTCTACAATGATATGATGTTTAAGTTTATTATTCGGATGGTGGATGTAGTAAGGACGAGTATGAACCATCAATAAATTATGATTATTTTGATGTTCAGATGTTGTTGTTAATGAACGATTTGACTTTTGTTGTGACCAAGTCTGAATGGATTTTGATACATTTGGATCAATATGCCATAATGACCAACTAATTTTGATATAACAATAGGACATGAATGTTAATGGAATGATGAATAATACTAAGAGTAGAATAAAATCATAGATTAGTCGAGCATTCATATTACGATGCCATTCTTCGGCACATGTTGTAATTGTAATATCAAATGGATCCACAATTCGATGATGAATAATTAATGGGATCATTAGGAAAAATGCTAAAAAATATTAAGTAAAAGTTAAGAAATGACGTATTAAAACGTTTATAGTGTTTAATATATCTTACATAATAGCCAAGTGGTGACAATTGTGAGTAAAATGCGTTTATGTGAACATAGTAATTTAGAATGAATTGGTTTATGTATAGCAAAATAACGATCGATGCTTACAGCCATCAATGTGAACACGGAAACAGCAACAGACGTTCCTTAAAAAAGGCAAACAAGGAAGAAAGCATTATTCTTGAGAGAAAAACATTTTAGTATAACTGCTATGCATTTTGAGATACAGCACTCTCTACTATTGTTTGAATAACGTTTGATAGGAAAGAGATGTAGACTAGCGCTTTTCGTCATTCGATAGAAGACAGCTGAAGGCATCGATCTAAGATAGAAATAAAAATAACATGATCACACCAGCAATCTTTTTCTGAATAGGATCTTCTGCCATTAAAGAAATTTTGAATTCTCTTTCTCATGAGTAAGTTCGAACTATTGGACCATCCTCTACAAATCTATCCAAGTGCCACATGTTCATCTGTTATCCTTTTCGGATGATACTAGTTTTCCTGTGACCATCCGAATCACTAACTTTGGAAGGTATGTGCATGTGTGGAAACATTGAAAAATGTAAAGCATAGGTTAGCGATCACACACAGTTACTTGCCAATGTTTATTTTTTGAAAAATTGAAGAAATCTATATATCGTTTAGAAACTTTTAAACAGAATTATAGAACAGAAGATTCAACGTTGCATAGTTTTGGTTTTAAAATTTTTTTGGAAAAGGATCTGAGAAACTCTCGTGTGTTCTTTAAAGGTATTGTAGTTTTATAACAACAAGGCGTAGCTTAATCCGATATCAGCATACCTTGGAAGTATGAAGAAGTGTGGATGAGTTTTGAGTGAGTTATGAGACTTGTATTATCAAATGAAATAGATGAAAATAGTCTAGAATATAAGAACTACTATCATCCGGGTAGAATGTACATGTGGCACTTAGGTAGCTTTGTTCAGCTAATTCTGATAGCCTGACAGCTGGCTGTGCAAAGAAGAACTTTTTTCTGGTCCTCTCCGTTCAGGTAGATCACATGTTTTTTGCTGTGTACTGCATTATTACAGATCACTGGAATGTATCACATGAGGCTATCATAAAAGGGACTTTATTACACGATGACTTTCTTTTAATCACTTTACTATTCAAGAAATTAGACTGATAATCTACGTAAACGGAGATCACCAGAAAAAACGTTCTTTTCACAACCAACTCTCAGGCCATCAGAATTAGCTGATTTCTTAATAAATCTTCTTTATCAACTTTTGGAGAATTACAGTTGCAGACAGAATGATAGAAAAACAAAATTTTTCAATAATATCTGATTCATGACTTATAAACCGTTTAAATCCTTGACTTATTGTGCTAATATTCTTGTTTTTTTTTCAGGATATCAGGTTGTCTTACTGAATTACATAGAATACTACGGTATCTAATTTTTTTGAGAGCATACAAATTAGATCTCCATGATTTCTACATCGAAGCAAAATTTAGAATTCGTAACAATGGCAAATAACTAATATAAAATAAAATAGATTGAAAAAAAAGTCTCTTATTGATTAGCTACTATCAGAGAGAGAAAAAGCAATGCGCGATGCTCTTTTTTATTTTTGGGAATTAGATTTGTCGATTATAATATATTTTGATGTTTACCAGTTATATATTTACTAACTATAACAGAAATTTATTTTATTTTCTGACAGAAACAAGAAATAACAAAAACATACTTTTTAAAATTATAGTGGAAAGTTTTTTTTCCTTTTCTGCTTTTGTATCTTTCTATTCTACAATGATAACGATTATGTGATAATCTTATTTGTAATATTGAAACAAAGAGAATATTAGCAAAATGTTGGTTTTTGTTGCAACTATATATATCAGTATGGAAATAAATTCATTATAATATTCATTCACAATATGAAAGTTGAAATTTGTTTAAACGTTTAATAAACTCAACATAAGCTTTTATTCATTATGTTGTCACCAAAAACTATAGGATATAGAGTTCGAAATTTTTTAAGAACATCAAATATTAATGTAGTGATAATTATTACAGCTATGTAAACCTGTAACTTTGCTGTATTTTCTATGTTCAAAAAAAAATCATAGTGTAAGTTTATGTTGAAAATGTCCTCACTGAAATTTACGATAAACCCCCCCCCATAATAGAAGCCTCCGGGGCTTCTAAACTGTCCGAGTGTTCAAAATTTTTAGGGGGGGCTTGTATTACGAAGGGGCTACTATTACGACTTTCGTACAAAAATTTT